GTCCTGTCTTATCCTCGTTATTTTATCATAGAATTCCAGAAGGTTTGTTAGGCACGATTTCCCTGTCCAGAACCCATGTTGATGTTTGTTCACAAACCTAATGTTCTCCAGGTGTGCAACCAGTCGTAGCCTAATTATTCTTTCCAGTATTTTACAGGGGATGCTTGTCAGTGATACAGGTCTGTAGTTAAGTGCCTCCTCCCTATCTCCTTTCTTGAAGATCGGCACGACATTTGCCTTCTTCCAGCAACTGGGCAATTCTCCTGACATAAGTGACTCATTAAAGATCATTGCCAGAGGCACGCTGAGGGCCTGAGCTGCTTCTTTTAGTATCCACGGTGATACTTTGTCTGGTCCAACAGCTTTAGTTGCATCTAGAGTTGTCAACTGTTTCATTGCCTCCTCTGCTGTCACCCCTATATCTGATAGTCTTTCATCTAGGGTAACCCCTTCCAACAATGGGAGCTGCTCAGGCTCGGAAGTGAACACTCCATGGAAACTGGCATTCAGTGCCTCCCAGATTTCCTTGTCACTTTCAGTATATGCCCCCTCTGTCTTCCTTAGTCTTGTCACTTGGTCGTTCACCGACATTTTTCTTCTTATATGACTGTGTAGTAACTTAGGTTGTTTTTTCGCTTTGATTGCAATATCGTTCTCATAGTCCCTTTCCGATGTTCGTCTTATGTTAATGTAATCGTTCCTAGCTCTGTTGTATCTGCTTCTGTTGTCCTCTGTTCTTTGTCTTCTGTACTTCCTCCACTCCCGCCTGCTGGCCATTTTGCTTCCTGACACTGTCTATTAAACCATGGGTTATTATATTCCCTCTTATTTTTTCCCTTTACCGTTGGTATAAATCTCTCTTCGGCCTCCTGGCATTTCTGTATGACTAGGTCCATCATATCTTGGACTGTTTTTCCTCTAATTTCTTCCTCCCACTGCACTTCACCCAGATAGTCCCTCATCCTCATATAGTCCCCTTTCCTGTAGTCAGCTCTCCTTTCCCAGATCTCTTGTCCCATGGTCATAAGTTTGAATTCCATCATGTAGTCAAAGACTAGGACACAATGGTCACTGGCCCCTAGAGGTATTTCATGCTCTAAATTCTCGATATCTTCTACGTTCTGGGTGAAAATCAGGTCTAATAGGCTCGGTGCATCTCCTCCTCTTTCCCTTGTGTCTTCCTTCACATGTTGTGTCAGGAAATTCCTGTCTATAACATCTACTAATTTTGCTCCCCACGTTTCGTCCCCTCCATGGGGATTCCTTGATTCCCAATTTATCTCTCCATGATTTAGGTCCCCCATGATCAGCAGCTTCGCTCTCATTCTGTGGGCTAGTGTTGCTGCCTTCTGCAGTTCATCTATACATGCTTTGTTGTTGTCATCATACTCCTGCCTGGGTCTTCTACTGTTTGGTGGGAGATTGTAGATTACCAGGATCACAATCTTCCTCCCATCTACTGTCAGAGTTCCATGTATGAAGCTTGTGCACTCATTGGTAACTCGATTTCCCAGGTCTTCAAACTTCCATTTCCGCTTTATTAGGAGTGCTACTCCCCCTCCCTGTCTCTGTGTCCTCTCTTTTCGTATCACCTGGTACCCTTCAGGAAAGATTGCATCTGAGATCATGTCATTAATTTTAGTTTTCACAATTGCAACAATGTCAGGATCTGCTTCACTCACTCTTTCTTTTATCTCTTCTGCTTTATTAGATACCCCATCAGCATTGGTGTACCAAACCTTGAGATTCTTCATGGAAACTCTTGTACCAGAGTTCTCCCTTTCTCTGGGGGTCTGGGGGGATCTGGGGGATGTCTGGGTGTGTGTGTGTGTGTGTGTGTGTGTGTGTGTGCGTGTGTGTGTGTGTGTGTGTGTGTGTGTATTCTATATTCAATATGTGAACATTTACCCCATAAGTATTTGTATTCGTGTGAGCATTCATAATTTATACATGCATTCATGAATGTGCACGCTTATACATTGATACTGAAATACAATGGTGAACTGAATTTCAGTTCCGAGTAAGGTTCATTAATTATAATTGGGTTATATTATTGGGTTCAACTGAACTTAAGAGCTAAAGGAATGCTTGATAGAACCCCCGTTAGATAGAGCTTGATAGAACCCCATAGAGATCGATAGAACCAGTTATATAGAGCAAGATGGAACCCGTTTGAACTTGTTTGATGGGGTTCACGTGAGGGATTTTTGTGAGGGACGAGTAGTTGGGACTACATAGTCATTGGAAGTGAAAAGTTTACTGCCCGGATTCCCTCCAAAGAATACCCTGAAATTGCCAATCGTGGCTTGAAATATTTACGGGTTTTGCAACAGCAAATCTCTGTGAGATAGCCTTATATATATATATATATATATATATATATATATATATATATATATATATATATATATATATATATATATATATATATATATATATATATATATATATGACAATTGATAGCAAATTGCTGTAGTTATTGATATCTCTTGAGGGAAAGGAAATAGCATGAAATGTTTTCTCTGGTGGAAGAGGGAAGGTGGGAGGGCTTAGGGATGGGAATGGAATTTTAAATTTTATTATCGATACGTATTTTGCGGTTCAGGCGTTCGATGCGTCTAGCAGTCGTGTTGGCGTCAACGTCGCGTTCGGTGGCTAGGTTAGCGATGGTTAGCGAGGGTCTCCAACTTCTGGACAGTATTGATGAGAATCTCCAGCTGCTGGACAGTATTGATGAGGATCTCCAGCTGCTGGACAGTATTGATGAGGATCTCCAGCTGCTGGACAGTATTGATGAGGATCTCCAGCTGCTGGACAGTATTGATGAGGATCTCCAGCTGCTGGACAGTATTGATGAGGATCTCCAGCTGCTGGACAGTATTGATGAGGATCTCCAGCTTCTGGACAGTATTGATGAGGATCTCCAGCTGCTGGACAGTATTGATGAGGATCTCCAGCTGCTGGACAGTATTGATGAGGATCTCCAGCTGCTGGACAGTATTGATGAGGATCTCCAGCTGCTGGACAGTATTGACGAGGATCTCCAGCTGCTGGACAGTATTGACGAGGATCTCCAGCTGCTGGACAGTATTGATGAGGATCTCCAGCTGCTGGACAGTATTGATGAGGATCTCCAGCTGCTGGACAGTATTGATGAGGATCTCCAGCTGCTGGACAGTATTGATGAGGATCTCCAGCTGCTGGACAGTATTGATGAGGATCTCCAGCTGCTGGACAGTATTGATGAGGATCTCCTGCTGCTGGACAGTATTGATGAGGATCTCCAGCTGCTGGACAGTATTGATGAGGATCTCCTGCTGCTGAACAGTATTGATGAGGATCTCCTGCTGCTGGACAGTATTGATAAGGATCTCCAGCTGCTGGACAGTATTGACGAGGATCTCCTGCTGCTGGACAGTATTGATAAGGATCTCCAGCTGCTGGACAGTATTGATGAGGATCTCCAGCTGCTGGACAGTATTGACGAGGATCTCCAGCTGCTGGACAGTATTGACGAGGATCTCCAGCTGCTGGACACCTTTTTTGACCAGAGGACTGGTAGTGTTGATGGCTTCAGGGTAGTTACTGTGTTTAGCATGCATGGTGAGGTAGATAATTACTCAGGTAGGGGTGAGGGATGGGTTAGGTGAGTCAAGCTCTGCAGCGTGAATTAACTAACCTGTACCTCACCCCTATCTGACTTACCATACATGCAAAATGCATTGTAAGGGCGTCACTTTCAACAAAAACAAATCATATATTTTATCATTATTGTTTTTTATAAATTATTTACTTATCCAAGTTTTAAATTCGTGTATATATTAGCATTGTTTTCCTTCAATAACTTATTTAAATTAAATCCTTTAAGTATAATTTACAGATATATTATAAATATTGTACCACACTATTTTTGATTTTGTAAATTGAGATTGTTATAATATTTTTTTGATTCTTTGACACTGACAATCTGGATATTTGACTTGCAAGATTCAAAATAATTTCCAGCTGTTCAAAATTGGTGCATTGTGCTTATCAAGTTCAAGTTCAAGTATGTTTATTGAGATAAGCAAGAAATACATCTCAAAGGGATAGAGTAGCTTAGACTATTTCTACCCCCTACCATTGTGCTTATCCTCTGAGCTTGGGTGTCGTCACAGTACTCTACTGTGGTACTCTACAGTAGTATCCATGAGGTACTCTCAGCCTCCCAGGGCTGGTGTGGGGGATCCTGCCTCCCACAGTAACACACAGGACCTTATATTTACATAACAAACATGGCAGACACTTAGACCCTTATGGGCTCCTGGTGTTTTGTTGAGCAAATAGAGTGGGAAGAGGGTGGCAGAGTGGCAGGGTGGCATGGTGGCAAGGATGTAGGTGGGTGGCAGGGGTTACAGGGAGACAAAGAGAGGGGAGATGGGCGAGATGTCTCAGCAAAAGAGCAGAGAGAAGGTTGGCATAGGGAGTGAGGGAAGCAAGAGGGTGTAGAGAGAGAGGGAGAGGGAGGGAGGGAGAGGAGACAGAGAGGAAGAGAGGGAGAGTCGCTCTCCTATCAGCAAGAATAATCAGCTTCAAATGTCCCACAGAGTGTTCTGTATTTCTTTGTGTTATGCTCTCTCTCTCTCTCTCTCTCTCTCTCTCTCTCTCTCTCTCTCTCTCTCTCTCTCTCTCTCTCTCTCTCTCTCTCTCTCTCTCTCTCTCTCTCTCTCTCTCTCTCTCTCTCTCTCTCTCTCTCTCTCTCTCTCTCTCTCTCTCTCTCTCTCTCTCTCTCTCTCTCTCTCTCTCTCTCTCTCTCTCTCTCTCTCTCTCTCTGTCTCTGTCTCTCGTCTCTCTCTCTCTCTCTCTCTCTCTCTCTCTCTCTCTCTCTCTCTCTCTCTCTCTCTCTCTCTCTCTCTCTCTCTCTCTCTCTCTCTCCCTCTCAACTAATAACTCACTCTCACCCTGTACCCTGATAATTCACTCTCACTTTTATCTTAATACCTCAGTTTGATCCATCACATTTAGAGAATGAGCTCAGTAATTGACTTTAAAAAGTTCTTTTTTGGCGTTGATGGCGACTTGAGGACTCTGATGGGGCTGTGTAGATGGGCCTCAGGGGTGTGGATGTTGATGGGGCTGTGTAGATGGGCCTCAGGGGTGTGGATGTTGATGGGGCTGTGATGGCCCTCAGGGGTGTAGATGTTGATGGGGCTGTGATGGCCCTCAGGGGTGTGGATGTTGATGGGGCTGTGTAGATGGGCCTCAGGGGTGTATATGTTGATGGGGCTGTGTAGATGGGCCTCAGGGGTGTGGATGTTGATGGGGCTGTGTAGATGGGCCTCAGGGGTGTTGATGTTGATGGGGCTGTGATGGCCCTCAGGGGTGTTGATGTTGATGGGGCTGTGATGGCCCTCAGGGGTGTGGATGTTGATGGGGCTGTGTAGATGGGCCTCAGGGGTGTGGATGTTGATGGGGCTGTGTAGATGGGCCTCAGGGGTGTATATGTTGATGGGGCTGTGTAGATGGGCCTCAGGGGTGTGGATGTTGATGGGGCTGTGTAGATGGGCCTCAGGGGTGTTGATGTTGATGGGGCTGTGATGGCCCTCAGGGGTGTTGATGTTGATGGGGCTGTGATGGCCCTCAGGGGTGTGGATGTTGATGGGGCTGTGTAGATGGGCCTCAGGGGTGTGGATGTTGATGGGGCTGTGTAGATGGGCCTCAGGGGTGTGGATGTTGATGGGGCTGTGTAGATGGGCCTCAGGGGTGTTGATGTTGATGGGGCTGTGATGGCCCTCAGGGGTGTTGATGTTGATGGGGCTGTGATGGCCCTCAGGGGTGTGGATGTTGATGGGGCTGTGTAGATGGGCCTCAGGGGTGTGGATGTTGATGGGGCTGTGTAGATGGGCCTCAGGGGTGTGGATGTTGATGGGGCTGTGTAGATGGGCCTCAGGGGTGTGGATGTTGATGGGGCTGTGTAGATGGGCCTCAGGGGTGTGGATGTTGATGGGGCTGTGTAGATGGGCCTCAGGGGTGTGGATGTTGATGGGGCTGTGTAGATGGGCCTCAGGGGTGTGGATGTTGATGGGGCTGTGTAGATGGGCCTCAGGGGTGTTGATGTTGATGGGGCTGTGATGGCCCTCAGGGGTGTTGATGTTGATGGGGCTGTGATGGCCCCTCAGGGGTGTGGATGTTGATGGGGCTGTGTAGATGGGCCTCAGGGGTGTGGATGTTGATGGGGCTGTGTAGATGGGCCTCAGGGGTGTTGATGTTGATGGGGCTGTGATGGGCCTCAGGGGTGTTGATGTTGATGGGGCTGTGATGGCCCTCAGAGGCGTGGATGGCCCTCAGAGGCGTGGATGTTGATGGGGCTGTGTAGATGGCCCACCAGGGGTGTAGATGTTGATGGGGCTATGTAGATGGCCGCCAGGGGTGTAGATGTTGATGGGGCTGTGTAGATGGCCCTCAGGGGTGTGGATGTTGATGGGGCTGTGTAGATGGCCCACCAGGGGTGTAGATGTTGATGGGGCTGTGTAGATGGCCCACCAGGGGTGTAGGTGTTGATGGGACTGTGTAGATGGCCCCCAGGGGTGTAGATGTTGATGGGGCTGTGTAGATGGCCCCCAGGGGTGTAGATGTTGATGGGGCTGTGTAGATGGCCCCTAGGGGTGTGGATGTTGATGGGGCTGTGTAGATGGCCCCTAGGGGTGTAGGTGTTGATGGGACTGTGTAGATGGCCCCTAGGGGTGTGGATGTTGATGGGGCTGTGTAGATGGGCCTCAGGGGTGTTGATGTTGATGGGGCTGTGATGGCCCTCAGGGGTGTAGATGTTGATGGGGCTGTGATGGCCCTCAGGGGTGTAGATGTTGATGGGGCTGTGATGGCCCTCAGGGGTGTGGATGTTGATGGGGCTGTGATGGCCCCCCCAGGGGTGTGGATGTTGATGGAGCTGTGATGGCCCCCAGGGGTGCTGATGTTGATGGGGCTTTAATGGCCCTCAGGGGTGTGGATGTTGATGGGGCTGTGTAGATGGGCCTCAGAGGTGTTGATGTTGATGGGGCTGTGATGGCCCTCAGGGGTGTAGATGTTGATGGGACTGTGTAGATGGCCCACCAGGGGTGTAGATGTTGATGGGGCTGTGTAGATGGCCCACCAGGGGTGTAGATGTTGATGGGGCTGTGATGGCCCACCAGGGGTGTAGATGTTGATGGGGCTGTGTAGATGGCCCCCAGGGGTGTAGACGTTCATGGGACTGTGTAGATGGCCCACCAGGGGTGTTGTAGGTGGCCATTGTGTGAATACGTCCACACCTGTTGTGAGTGATTCAGAATTTTCTAAACAAAACACTATAATTTAAACCTTTTACGAGAAACAAGATTCACTGTTTACAAGTTAAGAAACACCAGAGCCTATTGTGTTGCCCGCTCATCAGCAACATCTATGTGTGTAGAGTCAAGATCGCTGATGACAGAGATTGGTAACCTCGTTAGTGATTAGTTTTCCAAGCCTTAACTGAGAGGTGATTATATTAGGTTTGGGAGTTGCTCTGAGCTGTGAATGGCACTGGGTGATTATCAGACCTTTCTCTGGTTCACTGTTTGTACTCACTCCTCACACACTCAGCCTCCTCTGACTCACACACTCAGCCTCACCTGCCTCACACACTTACACCTGCCTCATACACTCAGCCTCCTTTGACTCACACACTCAGCCTCACCTGCCTCACACACTTACACCTGCCTCACACACTTACACCTGCCTCATACACTCAGCCTCCTCTGACTCACACACTCAGCCTTCCCTGCTTCACACACTCACACCTACCTCATACACTCAGTCACCTCTGACTCACACACTCAGACTCCCCTGCCTCACACTCAGACTCCCCTGCCTCACACACTCACACTCCCCTGCCTCATACACTCAGCCTTCCCTGCTTCACACACTCAGCCTCCCCTGCCTCACACACTCAGCCTCCTCTTCCTCACACACTCAGCCTCCCCTGCCTCACACACTCAGCCTCCCCTGCCTCATACACTCAGCCTTCCCCCTGCCTCACACACTCAGCCTCCCCTGCCTCACACACTCAGCCTCCCTTGCTTCACACACTCAGCCTCCCCTGCCTCACACACTCAGCCTCCCCTGCCTCACACACTCAGCCTTCCCTGCCTCACACACTCAGCCTCCCCTGCCTCACACACTCAGCCTCCTCTTCCTCACACACTCAGCCTCCCCTGCCTCACACACTCAGCCTCCCCTGCCTCATACACTCAGCCTTCCCCCTGCCTCACACACTCAGCCTCCCCTGCCTCACACACTCAGCCTCCCTTGCTTCACACACTCAGCCTCCCCTGCCTCACACACTCAGCCTCCCCTGCCTCACACACTCAGCCTTCCCTGCCTCACACACTCAGCCTCCCCTGCCTCACACACTCAGTCTCCCCTGCCTCACACACTCAGCCTCACCTGCCTCACACACTCAGCCTCCCCTGCTTCACACACTCAGCCTCCCCTGCCTCACACAGTCAGCCTTCCCCCTGCCTCACACACTCAGCCTCCCCTGCCTCACACACTCAGCCTCCCCTGCCTCACACACTCAGCCTCCCCTGCCTCACACACTCAGCCTCCCCTGCCTCACACACTCAGCCTCCCCTGCCTCACACACTCAGCCTCCCCTGCCTCACACACTCAGCCTCCCCTGCCTCACACACTCAGTCTCCCCTGCCTCACACACTCAGCCTCCCCTGCTTCACACACTCAGACTCCCCTGCCTCACACACTCAGCCTCCCCTGCCTCACACACTCAGCCTCCCTTGCCTCACACACTCAGCCTCCCCTGCCTCACACACTCAGCCTCCCCTGTCTCACACACTCAGCCACCCCTGCCTCATACACTCACACTCCCCTGCCTCACACACTCAGCCACCCCTGCCTCACACACTCAGCCTTCCCTGCCTCACACACTCAGCCTCCCCTGCCTCACACACTCAGTCTCTCCTGCCTCACACACTCAGCCTCCCCTGCCTCACACACTCAGCCTCCCCTGTCTCACACACTCAGCCACCCCTGCCTCATACACTCACACTCCCCTGCCTCACACACTCAGCCACCCCTGCCTCACACACTTACACCTGCCTCACACACTCAGCCTCCCCTGCTTCACACACTTACACCTGCCTCACACACTCACACTCCCCTGCCTCACACACTCAGCCTCCCCTGCCTCACACACTCAGCCTCCCCTGCCTCACACACTCACACTCCCCTGCCTCACACACTCAGCCACCCCTGCCTCACACACTCAGCCTCCCCAGCCTCACACACTCAGGCTTCAACGCACTTTTCTCAATCTTGTCAATTACTGCTCCTGACTCCTCACATTCATACCACTTTTGTTCATTATCCTTCACCCTAATACTACTCACTATGCATCTCAAATATGCAATTATGCAACATATACTCACAATGTTTTAATTGGCTGCAGCTCAAGTTAGGTTTCTACCACCCAAGGTTTCTGCCACCCAAGGTTTCTGCCACCCAAGGTTTCTGCCACCCAAGGTTTCTACCACCCAAGGTTTCTGCCACCCAAGGTTTCTGCCACCCAAGGTTTCTGCCACCCAAGGTTTCTGCCACCCAAGGTTTCTGCCACCCAAGGTTTCTACCACCCAAGGTTTCTGCCACCCAAGGTTTCTGCCACCCATGGTTTCTGCCACCCATGGTTTCTGCCACCCATGGTTTCTGCCACCCAAGGTTTCTACCACCCAAGGTTTCTACCACCCAAGGTTTCTGCCACCCAAGGTTTCTACCACCCAAGGTTTCTGCCACCCAAGGTTTCTGCCACCCATGGTTTCTGCCACCCAAGGTTTCTACCACCCAAGGTTTCTACCACCCAAGGTTTCTGCCACCCAAGGTTTCTGCCTGCCACCCATGGTTTCTGCCACCCATGGTTTCTGCCACCCATGGTTTCTGCCACCCATGGTTTCTACCACCCAAGCCTACCCATGGTTTCTACCACCCAAGGTTTCTACCACCCAAGGTTTCTACCACCCAAGGTTTCTGCCACCCATGGTTTCTGCCACCCATGGTTTCTACCACCCAAGGTTTCTACCACCACCCAGGTTTCTGCCACCCATGGTTTCTGCCACCCATGGTTTCTGCCACCCATGGTTTCTACCACCCAAGGTTTCTACCACCCAAGGTTTCTACCACCCAAGGTTTCTGCCACCCATGGTTTCTGCCACCCATGGTTTCTACCACCCAAGGTTTCTACCACCCAAGGTTTCTGCCACCCAAGGTTTCTGCCACCCATGGTTTCTGCCACCCATGGTTTCTACCACCCAAGGTTTCTACCACCCAAGGTTTCTACCACCCAAGGTTTCTGCCACCCAAGGTTTCTGCCACCCATGGTTTCTGCCACCCATGGTTTCTGCCACCCATGGTTTCTGCCACCCAAGGTTTCTACCACCCAAGGTTTCTGCCACCCAAGGTTTCTGCCACCCAAGGTTTCTGCCACCCATGGTTTCTGCCACCCAAGGTTTCTGCCACCCAAGGTTTCTGCCACCCAAGGTTTCTACCACCCAAGGTTTCTACCACCCAAGGTATCTACCACCCAAGGTTTCTACCACCCAAGGTATCTACCACCCAAGGTTTCTACCACCCAAGGTTTCTACCACCCAAGGTTTCTACCACCCAAGGTATCTACCACCTAAGGTTTCTGCCACCCAAGGTTTCTACCACCCAAGGTATCTACCACCCAAGGTATCTACCACCCAAGGTTTCTACCACCCAAGGTTTCTACCACCCAAGGTTTCTACCACCCAAGGTTTCTACCACCCAAGGTATCTACCACCCAAGGTTTCTACCACCCAAGGTTTCTACCACCCAAGGTTTCTACCACCCAAGGTTTCTACCACCCAAGGTATCTACCACCCAAGGTTTCTACCACCCAAGGTTTCTACCACCCAAGGTTTCTACCACCCAAGGTTTCTACCACCCAAGGTTTCTACCACCCAAGGTTTCTACCACCCAAGGTTTCTACCACCCAAGGTTTCTACCACCCAAGGTATCTACCACCCAAGGTTTCTACCACCCACGGTATCTACCACCCACGGTATCTACCACCCAAGGTTTCTACCACCCAAGGTTTCTACCACCCAAGGTTTCTACCACCCAAGGTTTCTGACACCCACGTTCTCAAAGCCTTCTCTCTCTCGCCCTATTAGTTCTATTTTTCAAGCCAGATTTACTAATTTTTGTCATATCAATTCTGAGTAGATTATCCACCTCGATATCCAATATTTTATTCTCAAATCCTCTTGCCATAGCCTCAAAAATCTTCCATTTTGAACGTTCAATTCTGTTTCCATGGCAACATCCCAAAGGAAGTTTTTCTCCCTAGTTTAGTATCGTAGAAACATTGTTTATGAACATATTTGTATTCATTGGGGAGAGGTCGGGGCTGAGTGGTTATAGATCATAATATGTGGTGATGGCTGGTGGCTGTGTGTGCTGACTACGGTATGTGGTGGTGGCTGTGTTGTGTGGTGGTGGCTGTGTTGTGTGTGGTGGTGGCTGTGTGTGCTGACTACGGTATGTGGTGGTGGCTGTGTTGTGTGTGGTGGTGGCTGTGTTGTGTGTGGTGGTGGCTGTGTGTGCTGACTACGGTATGTGGTGGTGGCTGTGTTGTGTGTGGTGGTGGCTGTGTTGTGTGGTGGTGGCTGTGAGTGTGTGGTGGTGGCTGTGTTGTGTGTGGTGGTGGCTGTGTTGTGTGTGGTGGTGGCTGTGTTGTGTGTGGTGGTGGCTGTGTTGTGTGTGGTGGTGGCTGTGTTGTGTGTGGTGGTGGCTGTGTTGTGTGTGGTGGTGGCTGTGTGTGCTGACTACGGTATGTGGTGGTGGTTGTGTTGTGTGTGGTGGTGGCTGTGTTGTGTGTGGTGGTGGCTGTGTGTGCTGACTACGGTATGTGGTGGTGGCTGTGTTGTGTGTGGTGGTGGCTGTGTTGTGTGGTGGTGGCTGTGAGTGTGTGGTGGTGGCTGTGTTGTGTGTGGTGGTGGCTGTGTTGTGTGGTGGTGGTGGTGTGTGGTGGTGGCTGTGTGTGTGGTGGTGGCTGTGTTGTGTGTGGTGGTGGCTGGTTGTGTGTGGTGGTGGTGGCTGTGTTGTGTGTGGTGGTGCAGTGTGTGTGGTGGCTGGTGGTGTGTGGTGGCTGTGTTGTGTGTGGTGGTGGCTGTGTTGTGGCTGGAGGTGTGTGTGGTGGCAGGTGTGTGGTGTGTTGTGTGTGGTGGTGGCTGTGTTGTGTGTGGTGGTGGCTGTGTTGTGTGGCTGGTGGTGGGCTGTGTTGCTGGAGTGTGGTGGTGGCTGTGTTGTGTGTGGTGGTGGCTGTGTTGTGTGTGGTGGTGGCTGGTGTGTGTGTAGTGGTGGCTGTGTGTGTGTGGTGGTGGCTGTGTGTGTGTGGTGGTGGCTGGTTGTGTGTGTGGTGTGGTGCTGGATACGGTGTGTGTGGTGGCTGTGTTGTGTGTGGTGGTGGCTGTGTTGTGTGTGGTGGTGGCTGTGTTGTGTGTGGTGGTGGCTGTGTGTGTGGATGGTGGTGGTGGAGGTGTGTGTGTGGGTGGTGGCTGGTGTTGTGTGTGGTGGTGGCTGTGTTGTGTGTGGTGGTGGCTGTGTTGTGTGTGGTGGTGGCTGTGGTGGAGGTGTGTAGTGGTGGCTGGAGGTGTGTTGTGTGTGGTGTAGGTGTGTAGTGTGTGGTGGTGTGTGTGTGTGGCTGGTGGTGTGTGTGTGTGGTGGTGGTGGTGTGGTGGTGGCTGTGTGGTGTGGTGGTGGCTGTGTTGTGTGTGGTGGTGGCTGTGTTGTGTGGTGGTGGTAACTGTGTTGTGTGTGGTGGTGGCTGTGTTGTGTGTGGTGGTGGCTGGAGTTGTGTGTGGTGGTGTGTGGATGTGTTGTGTGTGTGGTGGTGGCTGTGTTGTGTGTGGTGGTGGCTGTGTTGTGTGTGGTGGCTGGTGGGTGTGTTGGTGTGTGGTGGGTGGCTGTGTTGTGTGTGGTGGTGGCTGTGTTGTGTGTGGTGGTGGCTGTGTTGTGTGTGGTGGTGGCTGTGTTGTGTGTTGTGGTGGCTGTGTGTGTGTGTGGGTGGTGGCTGTGTTGTGTGTGGTGGTGGCTGTGTTGTGTGTGTGGTGGTGGCTGTGTGTGTGTGGTGGTGGTGTGGTGGTGTGTTTGTGTGTGGTGGTGGCTGTGTGTGTGGTGTGGTGGAGGTGTGTGGTGTGTGTGGTGGTGGCTGTGTGGTGTGTGGTGGTGGCTGTTGTGTGTGGTGGTGGCTGTGTTGTGTGTGGTGGTGGCTGGTGTGTGTGTGGTGGTGGCTGTGTGTGTGTGGTGGTGGTGGTGGCTGTGTTGTGTGGTGGTGGCTGTGTTGTGTGGTGGTGGCTGTGTGGTGTGTGGTGGTGGCTGTGTGTGTGTGGTGGTGGTGGCTGTGTTGTGTGTAGTGGTGGCTGGAGTGTGTGGTGGCTGTGTTGTGTGGTGTTGGCTGTTGTGGTGGTGGTGGCTGGAGGTGTGTGGTGGTGGTGGTGGCTGTGTTGTGTGGTGGTGGCTGTGTTGTGTGGTGGTGGTGGTAGTGGTGCCTGTGTGTGTGGTGGTGGCTGTGTTGTGTGTGGTGGTGGCTGTGTTGTGTGTGGTGGTGGCTGTGTTGTGTGGTGGTGGCTGTGTTGTGTGTGGTGGTGGCTGTGTTGTGTGTGGTGGTGGCTGTGTTGTGTGTGGTGGTGGCTGTGGTGTGTGGTGGTGGTGGCTGTGTTGTGTGTGGTGGTGGCTGTGTTGTGTGTGGTGGTGGCTGTGTTGGTGTGTGGTGGTGGCTGTGTTGTGTGTGGTGGTGGCTGTGTTGTGTGTGGTGGTGGCTGTGTTGTGTGTGGTGGTGGCTGTGTTGTGTGGTGGTGGCTGTGTTGTGTGTGGTGGTGGCTGTGTTGTGTGGTGTGGCTGGAGTTGTGTGTGTGGTGGCTGTGTTGTGTGGTGGTGGTGGCTGTGTTGTGTGGTGGTGGCTGTGTTGTGTGTGGTGGTGGCTGTGTTGTGTGTGGTGGTGGCTGTGTTGTGTGGTGGTGGTGGCTGTGTTGTGTGGTGGTGGCTGTGTTGTGTGTGGTGGTGGCTGTGTTGTGTGGTGGTGGCTGCTGTGTGTGTGTGGTGGTGGCTGTGTTGTGTGTGGTGGTGGCTGTGTTGTGTGTGGTGGTGGCTGTGTTGTGTGTGTGTGGCTGGCTGTGTGTGGTGTGTGGTGTGTAGTGTGCTGTGTGGTGTGTGTGTGGTGGCTGTGTTGTGTGTGTGGTGGCTGTGTTGTGTGTGGTGGTGGCTGTGTGTGTGTGGTGGTTGGCTGTGTTGTGTGGTGGTGGTGGTGGCTGTGTTGTGTGTGGTGGTGGCTGTGTTGTGTGGTGGTGGCTGTGTTGTGTGTGGTGGTGGCTGTGTTGTGTGGTGGTGGCTGTGTTGTGTGTGGTGGTGGCTGTGTTGTGTGTGGTGGTGGCTGTGTTGTGTGTGGTGGTGGCTGTGTTGTGTGTGTGGTGTGGCTGTGTTGTGTGGTGGTGGCTGGTTGTGTGTGGTGGTGGCTGTGTGTGTGTGGTGGCTGTGTTGTGTGGTGGTGGCTGGCTGTGTTGTGTGGTGGTGGTGGCTGTGTTGTGTGTGGTGGTGGCTGTGTGTGTGGTGGTGGTGGTGTGTGTGGTGGTGGCTGTGTTGTGTGGGTGGTGGCTGGTGTGTGTGGTGGTGGAGGTGTGTGTGGTGGTGGTGGTGTGTGTTGTGTGTGTGGTGGCTGTGTGTGTGGTGGTGGCTGTGTTGTGTGTGGTGGTGGTGGCTGTGTGGTGGTGGCTGTGGTGTGTAGTGGCTGTGTTGTGTGGTGGTGGCTGTGTGTGTGGTGGTGGCTGTGTGTGTGTGTGGTGGTGGCTGTGTTGTGTGTGGTGGTGGCTGTGTTGTGTGTGGTGGTGGTGGAGTGTGTGGTGGTGGCTGTGTTGTGTGTGGTGGTGGCTGTGTTGTGTGTGGTGGTGGCTGGAGTTGTGTGTGGTGGCTGTGTTGTGTGTGGTGGTGGCTGTGTTGTGTGGTGGTGGCTGTGTTGTGTGGTGGTGGCTGTGTTGTGTGTGGTGGCTGTGTTGTGTGTGGTGGTGGCTGTGTTGTGTGGTGGTGGCTGTGTTGTGTGTGGTGGTGGCTGTGTTGTGTGGTGGTGGCTGTGTTGTGTGTGTGGTGGCTGTGTTGTGTGTGGTGGTGGCTGTGTGTGTGGTGGTGGCTGTGTTGTGTGTGGTGGCTGGAGGTGTGTAGTGGTGTGGTGGCTGTGTGTGTGTGTGGTGGTGGCTGGAAGTGTGTCGTTGTGGAGGCTGGTAGTGTGGCTGCAGGTGGTGGTGGCTGGAGTGTGTAGTGGTGGCTGGAGGTGTGTAGTGGTGGCTGCTGTGTGTAGTGGTGGCTGTGAGGTGTGTAGTGGTGGCTGTGTTGTGTGTGGTGGCTGGAGGTGTGTGTGTGGCTGGAGGTGTGTGTGTGGTGGCTGGCTGTGTGTGTGGTGGTGGCTGGTGTGTGTAGTGGTGGCTGTGTTGTGTGTGGTGGTGGTGTAGTGGTGTGGTGGTGTGGCTGTGTTGTGTGGTGGTGGTGGATGGAGGTGTGTAGTGGTGGCTGGAGTGTGTGTGTGGTGGTGGTGGTGGTGTAGTGGTGTGGCTGTGTTGTGTGTGGTGGTGGCTGTGTTGTGTGTGGTGGTGGAGGTGTGTAGTGTTGTGTGTGGTGGTGGTGTGTGTGGAGTGTGTGTGGTGGCTGGAGGTGTGTGGTGGTGTGGAGATGTGTGGTGGTGGCTGTGTTGTGTGTGGTGGTGGCTGTGTTGTGTGGTGGTGGCTGTGTTGTGTGTGGTGGTGGCTGTGTTGTGTGTGGTGGTGGCTGTGTTGTGTGGTGGTGGCTGTGTTGTGTGTGGTGGTGGCTGTGTTGTGTGTGGTGGTGGCTGTGTTGTGTGTGGTGGTGGTGTTGTTGTGTGGTGGTGGCTGTGTTGTGTGTGGTGGTGGCTGTGTTGTGTGTGGTGGTGGCTGTGTTGTGTGTGGTGGTGGCTGTGTTGTGTGTGGTGGTGGCTGGTTGTGTGTG